TTTAGGGTTGAGAAAATGTGGACACAACACGAGATCTCCTACAACCAGTTGTTTGCAGACTTCCATTGTCTCGTAACGGGCTCCGCGCTGAAATGGTACTGGCAAGTGCTAGAGGACCATTCGGAGGATCCAAAGTTCGGTTACTTCGAGCTTAAAGCAGAGCTGTTGGCCCAGTTCAAAAGCGCGGAGTCCGATTATGAGATAATCCGGGATATAATGGAGCGTAAACAACTGGCACAGGAAGCTTTCGACGATTTTTACGGCGAAGTCCATAATTTGACCTTCAGGCTACGAAAAAAGATACCGGAAAAGGAATTAGTAGGCATAATAAAAGGCAATCTTAAACCGCACTTAGCCAACCTGACGTTTTCGTCGAAAATGGACACGTTGGCGGAGCTAAGAGCTGAGTGTAAACGTGCGGAGCGAGTTATTAAAGAAAATAGAAGTAGGTCTAAAACTATTAACGAGATACAATACCCAGATGTATCAGAATCCGGTGAGGAAGTAGGTGAAAAGTTTTTTGAAGCTATAGGGAACCCATTCAAACCGAAGACACAATTCAGCCAACCGTCTGGGCTTAACAGTAAGCCAAGCGTAGCTCCTTCCCATAGACTAGTCTCCTCTTCTGTCAATGATCCTAAAACCACCATTAACTCATTTTGTCCGTCCCCTTTTCATTTAATGTTGTGTTTTTCTTGTGGAATGCCTGTCGATTTCTATTTTAAAAACCCAGCAGAAGCGAAGAAGGTCGGTGTAAGTCTTCATTTCATTGTATGGTTTGTTTTTCGTGTGGGGGTGATATGTCTTTTTGTGTGTTCAAGCCGGAGAAGGGAAACTCATCACTGGCGGAGATAGCCGGGAGCTCCAGCCAGGTAAAGGAAAGCCCGGAGGGCAACCGCGGGTCAGAGTGCTAGAAAGAAAAATCGATAGCAATGTTAATGAAAAAGTCAATGTAAGTGTGAAACCTGAATTGAAGAGCTTACATCAACGGAAACTGGACTACGAGGCTGCTCGCAGAAAAATATTTTGTGAAGAAATGATGAGAAAGAAAAGTAGTACAAAGTATGAAAAAATAAGAAAAATGAGGGAAAAGAAAAAATACCATAAACGAATACATAGGAAAATAATATCGACAATAGCGACAATGAAACGAGACAATAGAGAACATTCGAACTGCAAATGGCGGTGAAACGGAAGTTATAGGGGTGATTACACTACCTGTGAATTGGGACAACATGACCAAGGACCTTGAGTTCCTGATTGTTCCCGGTTTACAACAGGAGGTATACCTGGGTGTCGACTTTTGGCAAACGTTTAACTTAAATGTTGTCAGTAAGAACACGAATGTAGAGTCCACTCGAGTGGGGGTTGCGGAACTTGTGCCAGCAGATGGTGATCTTTCCTTTGATGCCGTACAACATGTTCNTGCCAGCAGATGGTGAACTTTACTTTGATGCCGTACAACATGTTCTGACTCCGGAGGAAAACATAGCGTTGGAAAGGGTCAAGGCGCAGTTTCCATCTTTTGCTGTCTTGGGATTGGGCCGCACCGATATGGAGGAACACGTCATAGAAGTAAGCGACGAGAACGTCCCAGTGAAACAACGACCCCATCTCACCAGCCATTCAAAAACTTATATATGCGGAATTAGATAGGATGATAGCTATGGGGGTTATAGAAGAGAGTAATTCAAGTTGGAATTCGCCCGTTTCATTAGTGATAAAAGGTACCAAAAATCGACTATGTCTAGATGCAAGGAAGGTTAACGAACGGACAGTGAAAGACGCTTACTCTTTACCACACGTTGACGGAATTCTTAGCGGTATACAGAACACACGTTTTATTTCAGCCATAGATCTAAAGGATGCGTTTTGGCAAATTCCCTTAGAGCGGAAGTCCCGTGAAAAGACTGCCTTTACGGTACCTGGTAGACCACTCTACCACTTCAGTTATGCCCTTTGGTATGTGCAATGCGGCACACAGAATGTGTAGGTTAATGGACAAAGTGATTCCCGCTGCTTTACGTGAATGTGTGTTTGTGTATTTGGATGATTTGTTGGTGTGTTCGGTAGATTTCTCGTCTCATTTGTGTTTACTTGAAAAGGTCGCTCGGTGTCTACGTGAAGCAAAATTAACGATTAATGTTGAAAAGAGCAAATTTTGCTATAAAGAGGTACGTTACCTGGGATACGAAGTTGGTGATGGCTGTATACGAACTGAGGCAAATAAGGTGGCGACCGTGAGGGATTTCCCCGAGCCGAAAACTCCGAAGCAGTTACGACGGTTCCTGGGCATGTCAGGCTGGTACCGTCGATTTATCCAAGACTACGCGACTATTGCAGCTCCGCTGCACGACTGCCTCACTAAGGACAGGATTAAAAAGTTTGTTATGACAGAGGATGCCAAGAAATCATTTGAGCAATTAAAGCGGAGCCTTATTTCTGCTCCTGTATTGGTACATCCCGACTTTGACAGACATTTTTACGTACAGTGTGACGCATCAACTGATGGAGTGGGAGGGGTTTTATTCCAATTAGACGACGATAAAAACGAAAGACCTATCGCATACATATCCGCAAAGTTAAACAAAGCACAAAGAAACTACAGCATTACAGAACTGGAGTGTTACGCCGCTGTGATTAGTGTCAAGAGATTCAGGCCATATATTGAGGGTCTGCCATTTACGATTATTACGGATCATGCGAGCCTTAAATGGCTCATGAACCAGAAGGACCTTTCAGGCAGATTAGCACGGTGGAGCCTCAAGCTCCAAGGTTATAACTTTAACATCCAACATAGGAAAGGATCCCAAAACTTTGTCCCTGATGCACTATCACGTGCGAACGTAGAGGAAATTATTCCCAGTGAAAGAGTGTTAGATATTTGCTTGGACTCGCCTTATTTTCAATCAGACGAATATAATGAATTAAAAAAGACAGTGACGGAAAATCAGAACAGACTGCCAGACTTGTGCGTATCGGAAGGATACGTTTATAGACGGACGCAGTTTAACAAGGGGGACGGTCTTCAAGAGGACCAGACCTGGAAGCTTTGGGTTCCGTCGGAACTACGCAGAGGGTTGGTGGAATCTTCTCACGACTCGCCATCGGCTGGACATGGAGGTATCCATAAAACCTTGGCGCGCATTCGTCAAAAATATNTCGACGGAAAATCAGGACAGGCTGCCAGACTTGTGCGTATCGGACGGATACGTTTATAGACGGACGCAGTTTAATAGGGGGGACGGTCTTCAAGAGGACCAGACCTGGAAGCTTTGGGTCCCGTCGGAACTACGCAGAGGGTTGGTGGAATCTTCTCACGACTCGTCATCGGCTGGACATGGAGGTATCCATAAAACCTTGGCGGAATGGTCACCGACGTACAAGCGTACGTGAAGGATTGTGAAGTCTGTAAGGGAAATAAGACCCAAAACGCGTTCAAAAGGCCAACTATGGGAAGGCAACAGGTGACCGAACAACCTTTTCAACGATTATTCATCGATTTTATGGGTCCCTACCCGCGTACATGTAATGATAACGATTTTGTGTTTGTTTGTCTCGACCATTTTTCCAAGTTTGTTATCCTAAAACCAATGAAAAAAGCCACCTCAAGCGAAGTGATAAAATGTTTAGAAAACGAAGTATTCCATGTTTTCGGTGTACCAGAGTACATCCATTCTGACAATGGAAAGCAGTTTGTGTCTGCCCTATTTGCTAATTTCCTGGACAAATATGGAACCAGACACATAAGAACTGCTTTCTATTCCCCACAGAGTAACGCAGCAGAGCGAGTTAATCGATCGGTTTTACAAATAATGTCATAAATAACAGATAATCACAGGGATTGGGATCGACATCTCAGCGATGCAGCCTTTGCTTTACGCAGCGTCGTCCACTCTGCTATCAACTGTTCCCCATATTTTGCTGTTTTCGGTATGCCAATGATGCAACATGGTGCATCATATGAGATATGCCGAAAACTCACCACCAGTAAGGATATTGATTACCAGATAGACATACAGGCCGATCGGTTGCAACTAATCAGAAATAATATAATGAAAGAACTAAAACTGGCACACGAAAGGAGTACGAAAACATACAATACACGTAGTAAGGAAGTGACCTTCAAGAACGGCCAGGTTGTGTATCGAAGAAATTTTAAACAGAGCTCTCAGCCTGATAATTACAACGCTAAGTTAGGGCCGAAACAGATAAGATGCATAGTACTTAAACCCGTAGGTAACTCTATGTACGAACTTGGGGACACTAATGGAAAAAAGGTCGGAGTGTATCATGCCAAAGACATTTTCTTGGCGTAATCTGCTGTCTAATAATTATTTAGTGTTCTGCGTGACTACGTGTTTGTGCCCGTGATGCATGTATTTATTTAATTACTTGTTTGCTTACATACTGACTTCCTAAGAGTTTATTTGTCCACACGACGTATTCATATCTAATTATTTATTTAGATTTTAATTATTTATTTATTTACCTATTTATTCATTTATTTATTTATTCATATATTTATTTATCTTTTTGTTTCCCCCGCTGGGGCAGGCACCTTGTCGTTGGTGCGGGGGCTTAGCTGAATCATCAATCGGGACGCATCAGGAGGTGTCAGCACGCACGCATCAGCACCTCTCGAGTATGGTACGGGCGCGCTGCACTGCCCTGGTGCGACCCGCTGATGGACAGTGACCAAGAACTGCCACCCCCCTAATCCAGGGTGTAATGCGACACCGTGCCCATTGGAGGGTTTGCAGCCAGGGGGGTCAACAATCCGGCTGTAATATAACGGCGCCTTCCTGACACCGGGCCGCCTCAGGGAGTAACGGTGGCCCCAGCACTCAATGATTGGGGGCAGGCCGGCTTCAACATACCGCGACTTTCAGCAACGGGAAGACACGCGCGGAGGGCTAGAGGGCAGAAGAACCTCGCCCTACCGCGACCACCGCGACGAACAACGCCAACTGCCCACACACAGGAGGCTAGAGGGCAGTATGACCTCGCCTCCCCTCGCCATGCAGCAAATAGGATCTCAACCTCAACACTTGAGGAGTGAGGGCAGGCTGACGTCAACATATGGCGACAACCAGCTATGGGAAGACACGCGCGGAGGGCTGGAGGGCAGAACGACCTCGCCCTATCGCGACCATCATCGACGCGAAGACCCACGAAGAAAGCCAGAGGGTAGATTGAACTCCTCCCTTGGCGCAGCGCAGCTATACGGAAATGATCGCAGGAGGCTTGAGGACCATATGACCTCGCCTTCGCACTCCCATCATCACTCCGAACCGCAGTCACGGTCTGCGTATGCAAGGAGACTCAACCGCAAGCATCCGGATGCCGACTCCGACAGCAGCTCAGATGGGCATTGGACCATCGCAACACACCGCAAGCAACACAAACAGGCGGGTGGGAACAACAGGCTTGAGGGCAGGACAACCTTGCCATCATATGCACGCGAGCATGGAACCTCATGGGGTAGGCTCGAGGGAATTGGAACCTCGCCTACACGAAATCAGCAACAACTGAACGCCAAACAGCGTCATATTGACAGCAGAGGATCCACGCCGCCTCGTGTCCACCACCTTGCGAACACCAGGGATATAAACAGTCGATCCCCCTCCCCACCTCGCCACACGCAACACAACCCTAACGAGGAGAATAGGCTTGAGGGCCGCAAGACCTCGCCTCAGCGCATGCACCAGCACACCAGCACCAGCACCTCGCCACATCACACGCATTACCGCACGGAAGAAAGAGACGGGCGCGAGGGCCGTAAGACCTCGCCCTCTCGCACTAAACAACGCACAGAGGATGGAGGACGGACTGAGGGCCGCATGACCTCGCCCAACGCTCACACCGGTATACAAGCGAGCAGCGCAGACCAACAAGGGGAGAAAAGAGCACCCAGACGTCGGCGCGGACCAGCAGCCCCCGATCCAGGGAAACCAGGGGCACGAGACGACCCACGTAGAAGGGGTCTCAGCGGCGCTGGAGTAGCACGTTACCTTCGATACCTGGCAAGAAGCATGAGTCCTGACTCTGCGCGGAGCCGAGCCGTGAGACCAGTACAGCAAGAAGCCCCAGCTGCCAAAACCACCGGCAACCAACGTGTGCCAACAGCAACAAAAAGGCAACCTGCAAAGCGGTGAGCAATGAGAGCAACAAGAATAGCGGTGCTACCCCAAGAGT